CGGAGGGGGAATCAGAGCCAGGGTGTTGAGGAAATAAAAATTGGATCCTATATATACGGTCTTGAATGTCAAGAGGCTAGGGACAGGGACTTGTTTGCCAACCACCCTCTAGTCCCTCCTCAAGGCCCGGAGGTGATTCCAAGCCATTCTTACTCTGACCACTAGAGGGCGCACCGGCCCCGTCACTGGGAATCCAGGAAACCAGGTCTGGAGGGGAACCGTGCTTTGCCTCAGGCCTCTCGTGCTCAGCTCCTGGCTCCCTTCACACGACCAATATTCATTCATTCACTCTGCAGGAGTGTATGAGATACCACCCAAGAGGCCTTGGAGCCAACACACTCATGTTCAAATTCCACAAGCCACAACTGGCCGTGTGACCCTGCGCAAGTTGCTTTACCTCTCTGGGCAGGTGGCAGAAACTGTCTCCCAAGATTTTAGGATTAGATGAGGCTTGAGGCACATATGGGTAGCCACAGCACCTTCTCAGTCTTCAGTGGGCCCTGCTGCCTCATCTGAGGCCATCTGCCCCTCGCCCGTTCTCTCCCCAGACCAGCCTCATTAGCCCCCATGAGTGGGCCAAGCTGAATCTCACCTCAGGGCCTTGGCCTGGACATGCTCTCTTCTGGAAGTGCCCTTCCCACTGTCCCTTCTCTCTGCCCGCTTCTTGGGAGGTTACCCCTACCCCTTCCGGAGGGAGCCCTATCCCCCACTACATTCTGCTGCCCAGCACCCTGATCTCTTCCACCACTGCCATTCCCTAATGCAGGAGTTAGCAATGGTGTTTCCCAACATGTGAAGCCAACACCCAACATACAGTACATGCTCAATAGAGTCTTGAATAACTGAATATTAATGAATACCTGCTGTGTGCCAGAACACAGGCAAGGCGCTGGCAATGCAGTGGGAACAAGAACACACGGTTTTGTGTGTTCTTAAAACTATGAGCTCAGGAGGTGCCAGGCCTGAAGTTTAATCCTCTCACAAATACCATGAGGTGGGACAATTATGATCTCACTTTACAGACGAGGAGACTGAGGCTCAAACCTGGTCACACTTGTGGCCCAGTGGCCCTGAGGTTCTGGGGCCCTCAGGATTTATTGGCGAGCCTGTTGGGACAGATTTGGAAGGCTCTCTGACTACTGGACACAGCAAGACATAGGTGTCTACTGATGGTTTCCCAGAAAAATATCCTTGGAAAGGCTTTGAAAATGGAGGTGGAGTGTGGCCTGGTCCCTACACACTCCCCAAGGCAGGACCATATCAACCCTTCCAGACTACCCAGGACAGGGCAGGGCCTCACTCCTCAGACCCAGAAAAGAGCCATGCCTCTCCCCTTGACCCAGGGCAGGGCCATACCTCCCCCACTCAGATTTGGTTGTGCCTTCCTCTTCAGGCACTTCAGGACAAGGACAGACAAGGGCCCTCTGAGCCTCAGTCTTCCACCTATATAATGGGTCTCTCAGCTGTGCCAGAGGATTCACAGGGAGGCCACTTTGTAAACGGCCAATGTGATTATAGGCCTCCAGCTCTCTGCACCTCTCAGCCATTGTACAGGTCTTCCATACTGCCTGGAATGTGCTGGGACCAAAAGGGTGGATGACAGTTAACACTTAGGGGCCAGCCCTCATCGTTCAAGTCAAAGAGGGAGGGGCCCTGAGGGCCCTGTCCCACAGCTCAGCATGTGGGTCCTAGAATCTTACCTGGTACTGACTCCGGTCCTTATCCTGTGGGTCTTGGTGACACCACAAAGTCACTTTCCCTCCTCCAACCTTAATTGCTCATCTGTAAATTGAGTGCCTGCCTCACAGCATCATGGTGAGGGGCAGAGAAGACTCATCACACACACACCTGCCCCGGCCAAACACCCATAAGAATCTATGCACATATGTCATACCCCCACTGTGTGCCAGGTACTGTCCCTGGTGTCCTGGCTGCAATCTGTAGTACTGGGACCCATGCCCATTTCAAAGATACGAAAACAGAGGCACACAGAGGTCACATGTGATCTGGCCAAGATGGCAGAGCCTGTAGTGGGCTTCCACAAACACCTCCTGCCTCCAGGCCTCAGGGTCACCTCCTCAGAGACCCCGCGACCTGCCTGTTCCCAGGGTCTCTGTACTGCAACCTCTTTCACACCCTATTCACTCCTTTGTTTGTTTCCAGCCCGGCAGGGACCGTATCACCGTGGTAACATACTGGACTCACCCAAAGGGCCTGCCCACTTGTATTGGCCTATTGCTGTTGTAATAAATCACCACCAACCTGGTGGCATAAAAATCCCCCAATCTTTCTTTTCCAGTTCTGAAGGTCAGAAGTCCAACATGGGTTTTGCAGAGCTAAAAATCAAGGTATCAGCAGAGCTGCATTCCTTTCAGGAGGCTTCAGGGGAGAATCTGTTCCCAGCCTTTTATAGCTTCTAGAGGCTGCCCACATTCTTTGGCTCTTGGCCACTTCCTCCATCTTCACAGCCAGCGATGGTCGGTCATGTCCTTCTCATGTAGCATCTCTCTGACCACAGAGGGAAAGGCCTCCGCTTTTAAGGATCCTGTGATGACACTGGGCTCACAGAGTAATCCAGGATTTTCTCCCCATCCAAAGGTCCCTAACTCCATCTGCAAAGTGTTTTGCCATTGAAGGTGACATAGTTACAGAATTCAGGGATTAGGATCAGATGTCTCAGGCAGATTTGGGCTTTCTCTTAGCACAAACATCCCAATACTGCACTTCTGTTCTCACCTCCCTCTTTCCCATTGTTCAGTCCAACTCCCAAGTCTCAATTTAGTTTTTTAAGAATTTGATTTACTTATTTAAGATTTTTTAAAAAGATTTTATTTACTTATTTAGAGGGAAGGGAAGGGAGGTATAAAGAGAGGGAGAGAAACATCAGTCTCTTGCCTCTTCCATGCTCCCAACTGGGGACCAGGCCCACAACCCAGACATGTGCCCTGAGAATTGAACTGGCCACTTTTCACTTTGCAGTACAATGCCCAACTAACTGAGCCACATTGACCAGGGCCCAAGTCTCAATTTAAATGTCCTGTTCCTCTGAGAAGTCTTCCTTGGTCTCTCCCAGGTTGGGTCAGGTGTGGCTTTGGGGCATTCTCCATCACAGCTCGGATTACAACCACTTCCAGTTTACCTGCGGGGTCTGGGGTAAAGAGAAGCCCGGGACAATGAGCAGGGGCTATTAGGGAGTCATGCATGGTGGGTGTTTGAGCTGAGAAGCAACCTGGGGCATTTGGGGCAGAAAGTGGGCTTCAGTGAGTGAGGCTGAGGCTGGGTTAGAGTAGAAAGGAAGATACAAATGGGAGAGACTCAAAAGCAGGGGAACGGGCTCCCCTGCGGAGGGCCAGTGACTTGCTTGAGGTCACCCAGCTTATGGCCTGTGGGTTGGGAAGACATGCCAGGCCAGGGAGCAGGAGGCCACTGGCAGCTGGTGTTCATTTGGAACCAAAACTGGGCTGACCTTTTGATCTGCACAGCCCAGGCCAGGGTGTCTGAGGTCAGGTCTTGGCCAAGGTCACACTGTCCAGCCCGCTCACACCCTTGGTGAGAACACAGAGTCCCATACCAGCCCCTTTTCTCAACCAAGGGAAAATCCCCTCAGGCTGTCAGAGGCTAAGGCCACAATAAGACAGCTTGGCATCTTCCCTCAGTGCCTGTAGGCATAATGTGGCCCTTGGCCAGTGGCTGGGGGATATGGGCCAGGCTGGGCTGCTCAGGTGGAAGAAGGGTTCTGGGCGTGGCATCTGATGGCAGAAGTGCTTGTGCATGTAGAGCAGATCTGTGCGGTGTGGCCACAGGGACCCTCAATTTCCACATCTGCGGAGGGGGGCAGATGCAGGAATGGGGGGTGATGAGACAGAGGCACCCCATGGGAGATATCCAATTGTTCTCCATCTTTTTAATTTTCCTGAAAGCATTTACCACTCTCTGGAGTTATAATGCTCATTTGTTTTATTGGCTATGGCCTCTACAAACCATGAGCCCAGTGATGACAAGACTGGATCTGCCTTGCTCACCCTGGAACCCCAGCACCTCCCAATGGTCCCTGCCACAAGAAGATGGTCACTAATTATTTCTTAGAAGCACAAACAGAGGAGCTGCACAGAACCCATGAGCACTTCGAGGGTGCCCTGACAACTTGGGAGGCTCCCAAGGTAGAAAGGATCAGTTCCAAAACAGGCAAAGTGTGTGGCTGCACCAAGGCCCCCTGGACTTACTTCCTAGGTTCACACTGATGTTGCCATTATAAACTGTGGGACGCCCGAGATTCCAGAACGCTAAACCCGAGTGGAGAGGAGAAAATCCCTCTAAGACAGTAAGTTCTTGTGGGTGTGGCCCTGGCATACCATCTGCAGAGATCTGGCAGGGGTGCACAGTCTCCCAGGCACACAGGAACTTTGGAAGTCTTTTAGTATGATTATTGCAGTCAGTGATGTTGTTGGGACCATTTGTGTCCCTGGGTCTCTACCCATAGCCCCCACACACACTTTCTCACACCCAGCTGTGCCCACGGGCTCCAGCAGCCAGGTGGCTAGGTGGGTGGTCCAGGGTGTAAGCAGCTGGCCTAGGGCTGAGGGCCCCAGGTATGGGCGATAGGTATGGGAGGACCACACGTGGGCCATGCAATCCATGACAGGATATATGCTCTGCGTGATTCACCAGTTAGCTCAGCCACAGCCTTACAGCTGAAGACCCCTAAACACACCGTGACACCTCGAACTCACACCCAAGATTACAATTTGACCCTTTGCCTCAGTAGCTGCCACACCTTCCCACACAAATTCTTGGGCTCCCAGGTCGGGCTCACCACCCACCAGCTGCCACCCCGGTGGTCAGGCCCAGCCCCTTCACACGTCGCGTACGACTCTGCCTCGTGCCCCCGCCATTCACGCGCCCCGCCCCAGCCCGCCCCGCCCCGCCCGCAGCCAGCAGGACCTTTATAGGGAGCGCCGACAGCGAAACACTGGGAAGTCGGTGCTGCCGCCCTCCCAGCCGCCAGCCCGCGCAGGGGCCACCGCTGCCCCTCTCTGCGCTCGTCATGCATCCCGGGACGCCCGGGCCACTGTGGCCACTGCCCTGGGGGGCTCTGGCTTGGGCTGTGGGCTTCGTGGGCTCCGTGGGCTCGGGGGACCCCATGCCGGGTGAGTGGGGTGGCCGGAAGGGGCGGGCGTGGCAGGCCACCCACGTGGGTCTGCCTGGAATGCGGGCTGGGGGAATGTTGGGGGTCTCAGGGTTGGTGGCAGCTGGGGGTGGAGGGCAGTGACCAGAGGCTGCCTCAGGTTGAATCCTGGAGGGTTGGGGCTCCCCCTTCCCCCTAGTCCCAAAGAGCCTGAAAGGAGGGTAATCAGGTCAGCAGAGCAGATGTGACCCTCATTACAATTATGATGTATAGTAGTCATAATGATTGACATTTACTGAGCACTTAGTGCCTACCTCTTACCTCCCTAAATCCATATAACAGCCCATTGAGGTGGGAAATCTTATTATGCCTGTTTTCCAGATGGGGAAACTGAGGCATGGGGTCACAGAGTTTGTAAGTGATGGAGCCAGAATTGGAACCTGGACCATCTGGGTCCTGACACCACAGAGAGGCAGGGCTGGGTGGCCAGACCCAGGACCTCCAGCAAGGGCCTCAGATCTTCCCCGGGGCTGGCTTAGGCAGATGGATCATTAGAATGTCATACCTGCCACTTATTGGGAGAAGCCAGGCAAGTAGCATTCCCACTCTTGGCGTCAGTTTCCCCTTTTATGGGAGCCAAGGTGCCGAGTTCCCAAAGCTGGTCCCTGGGAGGCACTCAGTATAGCACCTGTGAACCAGTGAGCTCTTGGGGATGGGGGCTGTGGCCATTCCTACCCCCACTTAAGGGTGAAGAAACTCAGGTCATCTGCCCCCACAACCCGGCAGCCCCACCCAGCCCTGCACAGAGGGAGGGGAGAGTGGAGCCCCCTCCTCGAAGGCCATGTCCCCGGGGAGACAGTGAGCTCATGCAAGGGGAATGTTCCCAAGTTGGAGTGAGTAAGAGGCACTCCAGGCGATGGGAGGGGGGGTGCTGCCAGGACAGGGGGCTCTGTGTGCCCTCGGGTGCTGTTTAGACAGAGGACAGAGTCAGGAGAGGCAGCTCCAGGGCCTACTAACCCTGATGCATACAGTCCTGGATGTTTGACTGACTAAGCAGGATGCCAGGCCCGGGTGGGTAGAGGGGGGAGTTTGGGGAAAAGCAGCGCAGAGGGAGGAGAGCTTCTTGGGATGGTTGGGGGTTGGCTAGAAGTTGGTGGTGGAGCAGTGTAGAGGGTGGAGCTCAGAGATTTTCAAAAGGATCCAGAGCCCCTCCTTCCACGGGGCTGGGAGCTGGGTGGAAGGTCAAGGCCTGGGTGTCAGGAGTGGTACAGGAGGGCAACTCTGATCCCATAGGAACTGACCCTCCTGGTCCACAGGTGGTGTCTGCTGGCTGCAGCAGGGCAGAGAAGCCATCTGCAGCCTGGTGCTGAAGACCGACGTGAGCCAGGCTGAGTGCTGTGCCTCCGGCAACATTGATACTGCCTGGTCCAACTTCACCTACCCAGGAAACAAGATCAGCCTTCTGGGCTTCCTGGGCCTTGTCCACTGCCTCCCCTGTAAAGGTAAAGGTGAGACCCCAGGTGTAAGCCACAGGCCAGGGTCACTATGGTTGAAGATGGACCAGCCGAAAGTGAGTTCCCTGTCTCGAGGGTATGCAGGAGGAAGTCAAAGCTGCTGGGAGGAGCAGCTGGGAAGGGGATCCCAGCTTCCCTCAGTTGAGGATTCAGGAAGAAGCTGACTCCCCAGCTTGGTTTCCAGCCTCTAGGCCTTTTCGTACGCCAAGCCCTCTGCCAGGAAGGCCTTTGCCACCTGCAACCCACCTGGTGGAAGTACACTTGGCTCACACCTAACTCCTGGGAAAACGGATTTTTCTGACGGGCCATTCTGGTTTGTGACCCCACACTCGGTATTCCCAACTGTGCTTATCTTCCCTTAACCCCACAGATTCCAGGGACTGGGATGAGCCCCCAGCTGCACATTTACTAAGCATGTGCCTTCTAGACCATGTTCGGAGAAATGCTGCCTCCTCCATCAGACAAGGAGCTCTTCAAGGGCTGAATGAATAAGTCAAGACATATTTTCTTCCTTAGAGAAGGGGTTGTGGGCCCTGTGGTCAGGGATGAACCTGCAGGGACCAAGAGGGAACATGACTTGAAGGAGGTAGGCATTAGAGACAAGGTGTTGGGAGATAATTAGAAGTTTATCAGCTGGAGAAAGTATGGGGGAGAGCATCAGTAGAGGCCTAGGGTGAGGTCCTCGTGGGTGGGGTTAGGGCAGAGGAGCAGGGAGGAGACTGGAGCTGAGGGCTGCAGACCTGAAGGCCAAGCTGAGGAGCCTGGCTGGCCACTCAGATGTGATTAATCCCAGATCAGCCTGGCTGGGTGGTCCTAAACTCACTGCCACAGGCCCTGGCGCACTCTAGAACCCTGCTCTGGCTTCTGGGAGGAGGACAGATCTCAATAAGTGCCTGGCCTGGGCATGAGATGGTCCAGGACACGCCCCCGCCCCGCCCATTCTGGCCTTGGGGGTGGGAACTCAGCCCCCCCTGCCCCCCCCTTCTGTTCCCTCTTGCATGAAGCCACACAGGCAGAGCATTTCCAGATGTGCGTGTGGGCGGGAGGAGCCCAGGTGCAGCCCACATGCCCTGGCAGGGGCAACCAACATGGGCCTCCCCGCCACCCCCGCCATTCTCAGGAATAGCCACTTATTTTATGCTCACCCTGTAAGGTGGGTTCCTCTATCAGCCCCACTTTATACACAGGGAAACTGAGGCTAGAGTGTAAAAGGCTCAGAGTCTGCCCTCCAGACCCACAAGCAACAGAACTGGGTGGGGGGAAGGGGGTCCATCCAGGATCTGGCATGGAGTTATGCTGAGGTGCTCCTGGCTCCTTCCCCTCACTCACACTGGTGTCGGGGCCTCAGTTTCCCCCTTTTGTAAAATGTGACAAAACAGCATGACCTTGTGGGGTGGTTGGGAGGCTGCAAGGAGCCTGGGAGGGCCTGAGGGGCAGGCTCAGACATTAGTAGGGTCTGATTTGCATTTCCGAAGTTCGAGGGGCCTGAGTAGTAGAGACTTCCCCTGGTCAGACCTGTTTTCCATCTGAGAAATGGGGCTGCAAGGGGGTGGACAACCCTTAGTTCAGATGGCTCAGGCTGTGAGAGGCCCGTTCCCCAGGAAATGAGCCGCAGGCCAGGCGACGATACTCCGCCCTCTCTGTCCGGTCCTCCAGGGAGGTCCTGGCAGGCAAGGGGAACAGAAACTGCCAGTCCTTCCCAGACCCGCGCCTGAATGGGGTGGAGCCCCGCACCCTACCCCCAGGCAGACGCAGCCGGGATCCCCCACCGGCCTGTCCAGAAACGCGAGTCAGGAAACAGACGTCAGTGAGAGTGGGACGGAGGGGCTGGAAGCCTGTTCCTGGACCCCAGGATTCGGAGCAGAGACGCCCTTCCCTCCCACTCTGAGCCCCGCCTCCAGACACAGCCCCCAGCCCCAAGAGTCCACCGGGTAGTGGCTGAATCTCTCTCACAACAGCCCCCCAACCCAGACCCCGAGCCAGTACCCTCGTCGCGCGCCCTGACCCCGGACAGCCCCCGACTACTGCCCGGCCTCTCTCCTTCAGAACAGGGGGCGAGGCGCCGTGGGCTCAGAAGACCTCTGGCCACGGCCATGCACCCCAGCCAACGGGCGCGTATACTGTGTCCTCAGATTCGTGCGAGGGTGTGGAGTGCGGTCCCGGCAAGGCGTGCCGCATGCTGGGGGGCCGCCCGCACTGCGAGTGCGTGCCCGACTGCGTGGAGCTCCCGGCGCGCCTGCAGGTCTGTGGCTCGGACGGCGCCACCTACCGTGATGAGTGTGAGCTACGCGTCGCGCGCTGCCGCGGCCACCCCGACCTGCGTGTCATGTACATGGGCCGCTGCCGCAGTACGTGGGGGCGGGGCCTACTGGGGGCGGGGCCACCAGACCTGCGCGTCAGTACGGGCGCCGCAGTGCATGGGGGCGGTGTCTGCGGGGCCTCCAGTGCAAATTGCCTAGTAGTGTAGGTAAAGGTCTTGGAGGATGTGGGGGAGGGGTTGTGGTAGGCGGGGCCCAGATGGCGAGGTTGTGGGCGGAGCCTAACAAAGGGACTCTTCATTGTCCTGGGAGAGCATCAGCAGAGTGGGTCTTTTGTAGGATCAAGAATAAGACTAAGGAGAACAAGGAAGATTAGGGTAGAAGTTTGGAAAGTGGGGTTCTGGGGCTCACGTGGGGTGAGAGGTATGGGTGGCTGACTCAGGGGCTTTTGTGTGCAATCAGAGGAGGCAGGCCTTGAGGGTGGACTTGGGCTGTGGGAAGGGTCTCGTAGAAGGGGTGTGGCGTCTGGCACACCCAGAGGAGGTGGGACCGGAGGACGGACTCCGTTGTGGGCGGGGTTCGTGGTCGCGACCGAGCTCCTTCCTACTTGGCGCCCCGCCCGCAGAGTCGTGCGCCCACGTGGTGTGCCAGAGGCCGCAGTCGTGCGTGGTGGACCAGACCGGCAGCGCCCACTGCGTGATGTGTCGCGCTGCGCCCTGCCCCGCGCCCTCCAGCCCGGGCCAGGAGCTTTGCGGCAACAACAACGTCACCTACATGTCTTCGTGCCATCTTCGCCAGGCCACCTGCTTCCTGGGCCGCTCCATTGGCGTGCGCCACCCGGGCAGTTGCGCAGGTGCGGGGCGGGGCGAGGAGCTGTGGTGGATTGTAGCCCCCAGCCCCATTCCGCGCCCCCATTTCTCTGTTCTTCCCTCCCGCTCAGCAGGCACCCCCGAACCTTCAGATGATGAGTCGAAGGAAGAGGAGGAGAACTTCGTGTGACTTAAGGGAGGCCTGGGCCTGGCGTTCAAGGCCTCCCCCATTTTATTTATTGCCACAGCAAAGCCTAATTTATGTCCCATGGACACTTCTCGGAGCCAGGACTGGACCACTAGGGGGAGCCCTGGACCCCTCCCCCAAACTGTATCTTGGAGGGGTTGGGGGCAGAAGGCCTGGGAACAGTGCTGGTGGGCGAGTGGGACCTCTACCCCAGATACCCTGCTGCTCAAGAGGACCCCACTTCTGCTCCCTCCGGAATAACTATTAATTATGACTGCCACAAAGAGGTCTGGGGATTCTATGCCAGCAATTAGTGAAAAGTCACCGTGGCCTTCTAGACCAGGGACCAAGAGGTGAGGAGGGGGTCCATAGCCTGAGTGTGTGTGTACACGTGAGCCTTAGAACATGCTCAGATCCCCGGACAGGCCGAGGAAGCATCCTCTGTCCCTTACCAGCCCATGAATCTAGGGCTTTCCTTACCCACTGCCTCCATGTACCCAGTAGGTCCTGTGGAGGCTACTAAGAAAAGCCCAGCGTGTCCCCTGGTTCAGGAGGCACTACCCGTGCCTCCTGATGCAGGCCTCAGCTCAGCGTCAGCTCAGAACAGGGTGGGACCTGCTGGGGCCCAGGAGACCCTGCTCACCCACTGGCCCAGGTGGGCTAGAGATGCTGAGGTCCATTTGCACACTTGGCCTCCTGGAGCTATGTGTCAGCATCACCTCTAGTGACTGCTGACCTGTCCACAGGTGAGGTCCAGACCTTGGTGCCACAAGGCCCACCCTTGCAGGGCTTCTAGGCCCAGTTCTTAGCGGGACTCAACCCACCAGCTAGGCTCAGGGGCCTCAACCCTGCCCAATGCTAGCCTAGGGCCAGTTCCCTCCATTCCACCTGGGCTGTCACTCTGACATCTCCCTGTGCCTCCATGTAGACCAGAAGCTCAGACCAGATATAGGAACTCAGCCCCTCAGGTTTGGGGCAAGGAGTGCAGGGGGCAGTATGCACACCCTCTCCCAGTCCCCAGGAAGTGCCTTATCTGTAACACCCAGAAAAGTACCCTTGAGCAGGTGAGTTTGCTTGAGCCCCCCAATACGGCAATTTCCCCTGCCCTGGGGTCCTGACTCACCAAAGAAATAAAGATTGTAAAAAGCCACCTTGGGATCAATTTCTGGGCGTCTCTTCTCTCTCTGATCCTGTGCCATCCACTTCAGTAGCCTGGAGCCTGGGTTGCTATTAGAGTGGTAAGCGGGGACCTCTGAAAGCATTTAGAGGAAACATGAGCATATGTCCTTGGGGCAGCCACTGTCCATCTCTGGGCCTCAGTCTCCATCTCTGGGCAGTGGGCAGCCATCAGAGAGAGGGCTGAGGTAGGTGGGGTGGTGGGGGCGAGTGGGAGAGAAAGGAGGCCAAGGAAGTCGCTCAGGGAGGGAGTGACTTAGCTGAACCCTCAGCCACTTTAAGGCCAAGAAGCTCAAGGACTGTGGGTAGACCATTGTATCTGGTTAGTTAGTTACCATTTATTCAGTTATTTTGGCCCTTTTTGTTTGTAACTGATGCCCACACTGCAACCCAAGCTTCTTGGGTTGGGGGCCCCATGAACCCCCTGCCCCAGACATGGAATTTTCCAGGCTGGAGCTGTTTGCATTGGTTGTCATCTCATTTGTGTACCCAGTGCTGCTGTGGTTCAAGCAGCTCCTATGGGACCCCAGTGGTCCTGGGTGGGGAACTGAGCTGGGGACCATGCGGGTGCCGCCGAACCACATCCCAGATCCAGGGCACGAAAGTGGACACCTGTGTGTACACATCTGGGGTCTTGGGGTCACCACACCAGATGCCGGAGAAGGAAACAAGGCCATGGGCCCGGTTCCTGCACACCAGGGGCCCACCGGAATCTGCCTGGAATGGAGGGAAAGGGGAGGTCAGGGGTTCTTCTCTCCGCTTCATTTTGCCTGAAGGAGCTTCTGCCTGTAAAACCCACCAGGACCCTTTCCTGCCTGTCAAGCCTTCCCACAACATTCTAGTGCTCTTACAGCAAAGACTAAACCCCTCACCTCAGCCTTCAAGACCCTGAGGATCCCACTCACCTGTCTGCCCTTCTCTCTCCCTCATTCACCAGCCTTTCTGGCTGTTCCTCGAGTAAGCCAAGCTCCCCAGCCTCTATCAGGGTGTTCAACCTACAGCCTGTGGGCCTCATGCGGCTCAGGATGGGTACGAATACGTCCCAACACAAAATCGTAAATTTACTTAAAACATTATGAGATTTTGTGTGTGCGTGATCACATGTCACTATGTATTTAATGTGTGGCCCAAAACAACTCTTCATCTTCCAGTGTGGCCAAGAGGCACCAAAATGTTGGACCCCCCTGCAAGCTTTTGCGTGTGCTTGAGACCTGTTACTGCCTCCTACTGGACACTGCTTGTATAAACAGAAGTTGGCCCCAGTTCGTGCAGTACAGACCTGCACAACTGTGCATGCATGGCAGCCCTGTGACTGCCTCCCTACTTGGCATACTTTCCCTTAGATCTTAAGGTTCCTTTATGCCTTAGCTCAAAGGTGCTATCCTTAGAAAAGCCTTCCTACCCTAAAAATACCCTAAAGAATACCCTAAAATTCCTGCCTTCTCCCTTCCCCTCACCTCCTGGTCCTAGCACCCTAAATGTCATCTGGAATACTGGTAGCTCTACCCCTATGAGGTGGTAGTTCTATAAATGGAGAAAGATGAAGTGAGGGCCAGAAAAGTGATTTTCCAAGGCCACACATCTGGAAAGTGGCATAGTCTGGATTTGGATCAGTTGGGCTCCAGGACCTGTGTTCTGAACCACTGAACTCTCTTGTCTGGAACAAAAAACCCTCCAGGTTGAGTTTCTCCTTTGTACTAGGGCCAGGGTTACCATTAGTGCACACAAGGTATTAGGAGCAGGAGCTCCTTCCTTGAGACCTGCTACTGCCCCCTACTGGATACTGCTTATAAACACACAAATCTGTAGCTCTGTGCATGCACAACCTGCATGCACAAGCCATACATGGTAGCCCTGTGACCCTGGGCCTCAGGTGAGGCCCGTCCGATCAAAAGTAAGTTGGGATTGAGTTCCCAAGCCTCTGCCCAGGCCTGACTCTTCTCTGTGGGCCTTGGTTTCCCCATATGGTAAGTGGGAGGGACAGAGAATGAGTATCTTACTGAGCAGAAGCCTCGTCGCCGTTGGTCCCCACTGCGAGTGCAGACCATAGCAGGTCTCAGCAGGCCCCTCCAGGAGCTGTTGCAGGCATCCAAGTCCAGCACACGGACCTCGGCCTCCATTAGCCCAGGTGGCGGCTCTTCAAAGTTGGACACAGAGCCCCAGCCAGCTACCCGGCACCGCGTCCCAGCCCTGAGTGGCCTGGAGCCTCTTTTTGGCAGCCTCAGAAGTCCCACTGCAGGACCCAGGATGGCAGAGCTGTTCAGCTGCAGAGAGAACACTGAGTTTTTGACCACCCAAACCATCACCACTGCTCCTGCCTCAGTTTACCCATCTGTGACACCTGGTCTCTTGGTCTTGTACAGAGAAAGCAACAACTGCCAGAAGGTCCACTGCTTTTACCACCAAGTGCCCCTCTCCGTCAAGCCTCACTCACCCAGACCAGGAGTGTGGCTTCCCCTCACCTCCTTAGCTGCCCAAAGCATCTTCCTAATTGTCATCTCTTTCCTTGCTGTAAGCCCTCCCATGGCTCCCCATTGCCCTCAAGATAAAACCTCTTCTCCCCCCCGCCACTCATTCAGCCCTCCTCTCCAGCCAGAATGAATTTAATGCCATGCCCTGGGCCCACTTCCACACTTTTGCTCACATTGTAACCCCCACCTGTAACACCGTTCCTATCCAGCTTTTGGGTCTCAACTTAGACATCATCTCCTCCAGGGAACCTTCCAAGGTTCCCAGGCAAGGGTAGGTGCTTCCTCTGGGCTCCCATGTGCTCCTGTCAAAGCCAGCTTACCCAGCTGCCACCCTCTAAGGGGGTCAGCCCTAGGGTTTGTTTATGGCTGTGTCCATGCCGACCAGAACACAGCGGCACTCAGTCAGCGGTTATGGAATGAATGATTTGGGCCCCTGGTTTTGGTACTCCCTGACCTTGGGCGCATCCCTGACCGCCCACAACCATACGATGGGGTGGGTAAGTCAGAGCAGTAGGTTCCAGGCCTTGGAATTCCACAAGTGAGTAAAATTCAGGCTTTGGCTGTTAACACTGACTGCTCCCTTTTTATTTGCCAAGAGAACCCTGCACCCCAGATCCTACTGTTCGCAGGGACCTATTCAGTCTTGTTGAGTATCTCTCCACTTTAATTCTTTGCCACATTTGGAGAGCAAGTTTGGGACATTCTCCCTTTAAAACAGAGGATCTAGGGGTGGCTGGAGTGGAACTTGGGGAGCCTGGTGGGAGCTGCAGGGAGGGGTGGTCTGAAAGGGCACAGCTCATCGCAGGGCAGAGGGAAACTCACATTTATGGGGGGAGTCGCATCCTGGCCAGAAAACCCCAAGCAGGGCTCGAGTGTAAGGGCGGTCTTTCATGGCCCTGGTACCTCATTTATCCCCGCTTTCAGCCTGAACATTGAGCGCCTGCTGTGTGCCCGAAGCGGTCACAAACAAGGTAAAAATTCCTGCCCTCAGGTCAAGAGGAGACAGTGAAAAGTGGTGAAGTAGCAAATGTGCAGGTGCTGCTAGCAGGTGACAGCTGTGCTGGACAAAAGAAAGGTGGAACAGGGACAGGGGAAAGGCAGGACATGGCCAGGTTGCAGGATGGGGTGGTCGTCCAGAGAGGCCTCCTGAGAAGGCAACATGTGAGCAAAGACTTAACCCGACTCAGACATTTCAGGACCCTCCAACTCTTCCTAAAACATGTCCAGTCATTATAGAGGTGGCTGGGCCAGGTCAGACTGTGCCCCGTGTTCCCCTGCCCCCGACCACCACGAAACTCACCTGCAGCAGACAGATGTCATTGGCATGGGCTGCGGGCTGGTAGTCAGGGTGACTGATGACAGCTGAGATGCCAAACGCCTGCTGGGAGGGCTCTGAAGTGCGAAGGGCATGGGCCCCCAGCACCACCAGAACTTTTCGGAGGTCTCTGCCGGGGGAGGGGTACAGTGAGTGAGACTGGGCTGAGGGCTGCTGTCATGGGCTTTGGTGTCTCCATCCGCAAAGCCAGTGCACAGCAATCTACTTAATCCTGATGCCAGCCCTGCGATAATAATTATGTTTGTTACCATTCCCACCTCAATTATAGTATTAACTCTAATCATTGCAATATTAATTCTAATGACTATTATAAACTATACTTAGAATGACTAGAATATTTATTGTATTTATTATAATTCCCATCTCAATTATAATAGTACCTCTGGAGGGGGTTCAGAACAGGCCTCCCCAATATGTGTCCCTTTGGCATGTGGATTATTTTGAACTGAAGGCCATCCAGACCTCTCAGGCTCACACGAAGTTTCTACCTCTTGCTTAACCATCTACATGAATCTAAATCGGGAGGCTCACCCATAGCGAGAGTTATCACCAGAGATAACTTTTTATGGCCCATGGAGAGGGCAGGGCAATCTTCTAATTACTGAGCACTTGCTCTTCTTAAGGTCTCGTGGATGACTCTTCTTCCCTCTGATGCCTCAGGCACCTGACCTCATCCCTTGCTCAGGTGACATATATGCCTCATCTGTCCTTTCTGTCCCTGAACCCCTCATGGCTGTGGGGCCTCTCCCTCATATATGTGGGACTCCCATATGCATGCATGTATTAAATTTGGTAATTTTCTCTTGTTACTCTGTCTCATGTAGATTTAATTATTAGACCATCTGGAAGAACCTGGAAAAGGTGGAGGAAAAGTTCTTCTTCCAATAATGTTAATATTAATGTTAATAACTATCATAAAAATGTAGGTTGCCCCTATTGGTGCGACTCAGTTGGATAGGCGATATACCACAAACCAAAAAGTCACTGGTTCGATTCCCAGTCAGGGCACATGCCTTTGTTGAAGGTCAGGTCCCCGGTTGGGAGTGTGTGAGAGGCAACCAAAGGAGGTTTCTCTGGCACGTCCATGTTTCTTTCCCTCTCTCTCCCTCCTTTCTCCCTTCTATAAAAATAAATATATAAAAATATTCAAGATATATACTTAGATCAAGCACCACTATGATAACTTCTTTTTATTGTCATAGAGGTCGCTCCTTTGGTACTTCTCTTGTGGACTCCACCCTTTTCCCTTGTTGTCCCATGAGGTTGACCCCACTGAGATGCCTCCTCCTTCAAGAGCCCTGCAGGGAAGGGGGTAGGGTCTGGCCATCCCAATGGTGTCCCTTCCTGGAATGTAGCAATGCCCACACCAGGAACACCCCTCACCACTCCACCCCCACACTATATCCAGAGCATCCTGGGGTCTCCAGTGGCAACAGGCAGGAGGAGGGCCCCCAGGGTGGGCTCACCTGTTGCTGAAGCAGTGGGCAGCTGAGACCACCCAGCGGGCGTGGAGCAGGAAGCCCCCACAGTGATGTTGGCCCTCGAAGCTCACTGATGCCATGTAGGGGCGGGAGTGTGGGATCACCTCTCGGCCCCCAATGATCTTGGCCCCCCAGGAGCCTGCAGGAGGGAAGGGGAAGCATGTGGGCTAGTGCAGGAAGAAGACTAATTGGGGCAACTCAGGCACTGGATGGGATAGGGGTCGAGTTGGGGGAGAGTCAGAGATGGGCAGAAACAGAGATGGAAAGAGAGACGCAGAAGGACAAGAGAGCGACTGACAAAGAGCCCAAAGAAGCCCCTTGAGTGTGCTGGGAGGAGGGCTGAAAGCCAGGAAACTTGGGCTTGGGCCTGGTCAAGGCCCCAGCTGGGCATCCTGCCCCGCTCCCTGCTGAGGCCCCAGAGCGTGACCGGCTAGGGGTTGTGTAGCTACATCAAGCTGGGGCCTTGGGGCACCCAGAGAGTTGATGGATGGGGCGCCTGTATGGGGTGCCCGGCGACCCTCACCTGGAGGCCTCATGAACAGCATCAGGGCAGTGGCCATGGTCAGCGACAGGTGGTCCCAGCCCCCCGCCCCAGGCCCCATGGCTGGCGCAGGCTACAGTCTCCCTGGAGAGCTTTGAGGACTGAGGCCCTTACTCTCATTCAACGGCCCGGAAAGGGGGAGCCCAGCTGTGGTCTGTGGTTGGAGGCCCTGCCAGGCCCCATCAGCAACGATCAGATCTGAACTGGTGATTCTGGGAAACCAAAGATTCAACTGCCTTGGGGTTGTTGATCATAACTGATGGGAGGAGACAGGGCAGTAGAGGGGAGCAGGGGGCTGCCTGCCCAAGCAAACCCTGGCTCTGCCGGTCCCTGTGACCCCAGAGGTCACTTACCTTCTCTGTCCCCAATTTACCCAGCATCTTGGTCAGTTCTTCCAACCACATGCCCTGGGAGGGTTGGTATAAATATCAACTGACACCCTGGATGCGTGGCTCAGTTGGTTGAAGTGTCGTCCTGGTTCACCAAAAGTTTGTGGGTTCGATCCTTGGTCAGGGCATATACTTAGGTTGTGGGTTTGATCCTGGTTAGGGTGCATACAGAAGGCAACCAATTAATGTTTCTCTCACAGACAGATGTTCCCCCCTTTCCTTCCTCTCTCTAAAAATCAATTTTGAAAAAACATATCCTCGGGTAAGGATTTAAAATAAATTCTAAATATCAACCGAAGGTTCAGATACGTGAAAACTCATTTAGTCCTGAGGTGACCTGAGGATGTCAGTATTGTTTCCATCCTCTTGTCACTGATGGGGAACCTGAGGCATAGGGAGGTTAAGTGCCTTGGCCAAGGCCGCACAGAGAGGGAGTGAGGGGACCAGGGTTGCAGCCTCAGGATGGCTATTGCCTCTATCAGGGGCCAGTTTTACCCATAGGTAGGCCCATTTCCTTCCCATCCGATAAGCAGTTATGAAACAGGCAACTGTCCTTCATGGTTCCAGCTAAGCAAGCTCCCAGAAGCCCTGAAGAATGAGCTGGGTAAGGGCCAGTGTTTTCTGAAGCTGAGGCTGGCTTGTTTGGGGCTACATGTAAGATGGTCTTGAACCCGAAACTCCTGGACTATAGTCCTTGATAGGTCTTTGCATGGAAGATTTGGGTGGTTTTCTCAGTCAGAGCAGACTCAACAAAATGTTGATCATGATGATGACAATGACAGCTCCCTTTACTAAAGACTTTTGTTATTGATTTGTTGGAGCTCTTTATATATTGAGGAGATCAACTCATGGTCATATTAATTTCTCTTCTGAGAACTCTCAGGTGCAGAGACACAGCCTCCCTGGAAAGTGAATTTGGGTTCCGCTGACATGCAGATGGACCAGTGCTGAACTAGCCTGAACTGGGCAGCCTGATCAAGTCCCCATCCCCCTTACCTGTTAAGTCCAGGGCTCCCAGGGCCATGGAGCAGGCCAGGACAGTGGGGGTCGAGGCTCTGGCATGCTGCTCTGCAAAGGGCCCAGTCTGGTCTGGGCCTGAGGTTTGGGGTTATGAAGCTGAGGGAGGGGGAGCTCCAGAGCCCTTTTCCTCTGGGATATAGTCCCTTTCATGTCCAGCTTACCCCTTCTTGGGCACTGTTGGGATGGGAGACACAAGGCATGAGCTGGAGTCAAGGCTAGGGAGAGGCAAAGGGGTCTCTGACTCAAAGACAGAAGAGGAGTGGGCTTTGAGGGCCCACTCCCCTGGAGACCAAGGGCCCCAAAGAATGTCTTGGGGCAGCCACAGCTGTGAGGTGGGCTCAGAGCAGGGGCAGGTGATGCTGGGGATGGCGACATCCTAGATAAGCAGAGGTGGCCAAATAAGTGGGAGAGGAAGGGAGATCATCATAGAAACCGTATTTGCAAGTGGTCCAGAAAGGGAGCGGGGCCCCGCACAGACAGGAGCTGCAGCACCTTGCGTGGAGAAGGGTAGGGAACGGGAGATGTGGATGCCTCTCTGGAGGGTGAGGGGGTGAAAAGTCCGCTCAAGGCCACTGTTTTTGTTCATGACATAGCCTGCCTAGCTCCACCCTCATGCTTTTTCTTTCCTTTTTTTAAGATTTTATTTTTTAGCGACAGAGAGAAAGAGAAAGAGAAATATTGATGTGTGAGAAAAACATCGACCGGTTGCCGCCCACATGCCCGCAGTCAGGGACCTGGTCTGCAGTCCAGGCATGTGCCCTGACAGGGAGTCAGAGCAGGGACTGACCTTCCATTTCGCAGGTGGGCACTCACCCCACTGAACCACACCAGCCAGTGCACATGTCCATACCTTTTTGAGGTCTGTCCCTGCTACCTGGGATGCTTCTCCCCACCATCTTGGTCTGGCTGGATTTCCCCAGCTCATATATTGCCACCTCCAGCCAGTCCCCTGGAAGTGACTGCATGCATGCTTGAGTCTGGGGTGTGGATGTTGGGGGCTTGGAGTCCCCAGGCAGTCACTTGAGAGCTTCTAGGAGGAATGTGGGTTTTGATCTGAGGGAGATGGACGCCCTGGAAAGCTGGGCTAGGAAAGGTGTAGATGGTTTGTGGGGAGGGGAGATGGTCCCAGCAGTCTATACACACTCCTCCTCTTCCTCCTATTTTCTTTTTTTTCTCTTTAACGCTTCATGAATTCGCATGTCATCCTTGTGCAAGAGCCATGCTAATCTTCTCTGTATCATTCCAATTTTAGTATATGTGCTGCCGAAGTGAGCACTCTTCCTCCTATTTTTAAACAAAATGCATCCAGCATCCCGCAGATCTTGAATCATTTACTTAGTACACCAAAAAATGCCATTTCTCTGAGCACAAGGCTTCTGCATCCGTGGCACCTAACACTGCCAGGCGCACAGTAGGTGCTCAATAAATCTTTTTGGAATGAATGGACCCAGCTCCCTTCTGCTGAGCAGTATGTGTATGTATTGCCTCTGGCTGATTTCACGTTGCAATGGGAGGCCTAGGCCTGCAATGCTGAAAATATTTGCTTTGTGGCCCTTTACAGAAAGAGTCTGTCAAACCCTGAGCTCCTGTGTGCTGGACCCTGCTCCAAACTTCTCCTGTGTATTCACTTCATTTACTCTTCTAGCTGGCCCCAGAGATGGGGAAATGATTCTCAGACGGGTTAAGAAACAGACCAAGGGTCACATAGCACATGTGGCTCTGAGCTAGGACTCAAGCTCAGGGCCCCTAATGTTTCTCGCGTCCTTTTTTATATTCTAAATTTGCTAATTTTTCTCATTGTTTTAATCCCAAATGAATGCACATTCATTGTAAAAAAGGCCTGTAAAGAAAGAGGTAGAAGTGGCCCTACCCTTTTTGGGTGCGTCCTGATGCATCTTTCCCTGCAGCCCATCCAAAGTTATTTTCCTCTGCACACACACCCATTTATTAAGCACCTGCTGAGTAGAACCATTTTACTTACAAGAAAATAAAGGGGTTTAGAAGAATCTTCCTCTCCTGCCCTTCCCCCCAGCCAGACCCCAGTAAGTGTGTTTGGGGACAGGGGACTATCGTTCTTAAAAAAAGCGTGGGAAGTTAGGAGGTCCAGGCTACATGATGGCAGTAACAGGTCCTGCCCCTCCTGGTCCGTGGGATCCACACAACGACACACGCAGCACGAAGGACTCAGGATAGACTGTGAGAGATCCGGGGAGGGCAGTGGAACGGGTTGCCTCTGTCTTCTGCCTGTGCCTGCTCCTCACACGATCTTATTCAGACTCCCCCTGGCTCAGGCCAGGCCTCCCTGTAAACAACTTGGGCAGCCAGCTGCCCACCCAACGTCACCCTTTGCTGTCCCCTCAACCCCATCCATGTCTACCTGTCCTCCCAGCGGTTCAATCTGGAAATGGGGGGACACCAATGCCTGTCATCCCACATCCCATAAGTAGCAATACTGTCAGCTCTCCCTTCAAGATCCATCCACCGTCCACCCGCCTCTCCACCTTCTCTGGCCTCTGCGTGTCCTGGGGGGCCCAGTTCAGCCTCTTCCAGGCCTCCAAGCCTCTCTGCGTTGCCGTTGTTGATCCACTCCCCCCCGGCAGCCAAAGGGGCCTTAACAAAAAATAAACTGGCCCTGGCTGGTGTGCCTCAGCGGATTGAGTGCCAGTCTGTGAACCAAAGGGTCTTGGTTGACTCCCAGCAGCGGCACAAGCCTGGGTTGCTGCCAGGTCCCCAGGTGGGGGCGAGCAAGAGGTAACTGATGGATGTTTCTCTCCCTCTCTTTCTCCCTCCCTTCCCCTCTCTCTAAAAATAAAGATAAAAATAAATAAATAAATCACACACACACACACACACACACTTTCCTTTGAAAAATAAATAAATAAACCGGGTTGGTCCCTTTCCTGCTCTAAACTCTGCTGTGGCTCCCCAGCGCCCTCGGGACAAAGCCTGAGCTCTCCTCGCTCCCTCTTCTATCCACCTCACTCACTCTGGCCAAGAGGCCTGCAGTGTGTGCTGTGGAAGCTGAGGCAGATTTAAATCATTAACCTTCCTCCAACTCTAGGACCCAGACCCGCTACCAGCAAGTGCTCAGAAACGTCCGGAATTGCCGTATCATCATTCCTCTTCAAACGGGCCTGGCTTGGTCCCACCGCCACGCCTTTGCACTTGCAGCGGCCTCCGCCTGAACCCTCCTCTTCCAGACCTCCAGGCTGCAGCAGAGAACTCGGCTCCTCGGAGCGGCCTCCCGGACCTTCCCTGGAGTCCCATCCGTTCTTCGCCCCCCTCTCGTCCCACCCGCTTACCCTCTGGACCCGGGGCTGGGGAGGGGCGGGATTTGGGGAGATCACTGCCAGGGCCAGAGCAGAGACCAAGCCTGGCCGCCAGCATCAGACCGCTCGGACATGGGATGAATGACTCCGGGCGGGGAACCGGGCACGGCTCCAAAGAGGTTACAGGCCAGGCCTACGGACCTCGGGGAGGTTGCGGGCACGGCCCGCGCGCGGGGATGAAGGCGCTGCGGCAGCCACGGCGGCCGGCAGGAGGCGCAGCGCGAACCGCCTCGCGGGGAGGTGGGAGGGGACCGAGCGGGGAGGGGAGAGACAGAGAAACGCTGTGGCGGCGGCGGCGACGCGCGCACTCAGCCCACCCCCCG